GGGGGCCAAAGTTTCGCCCCCTATAGACAGCGATGGAATCAGCTGACTATGCCGGGGCGCCGGCAACCACAGCCACTCGGTCTTGGAAGGGTTGAGTCTGAGTCTGTTCCTCCCCATCCAGACCCGTACGGCCTCCAGGCAGCGGGTCATCACGTCAAGGGCATCGTTGGGGTGACCTGGGGTGGAGATGTACAGCTGAATGTTTAGTTTCTGAATGTTTAGTTACCAGACTAGTTAACATCACCAGCAGGATTTTCTTGTCCTATTTTCTTTAGCTTGTTATTATGTTATTTACGTAGTAGCTCCTACTGACTGGAGCAGCCAAATTAAAGTCTATAGTTGTGTGCCGACTTTAATCCTGGAAAGATTGGTGCAAAATTTTGCATTCCAGTCAGGAAATTTTTTGATGTCCCCTTAGAACACCCCAATTTGACAATTCCAGGAATGGTCAGTCATTTTCTGGAAGTGAATCTCCTAAAACAGAAGCAGACTTGCTTTGTCCTGGATGTGTTTGAGTCTTCCATAACACTAGCAGCAACTAAGTACGAAAGGCGATTTGAAGCTGCCCCAGTGGTGGCACAGTCATTTTTTTTTAATATGATCTAAAATGGAAAAAAAATACACAGCCGCAAAGAAGTGCACTATTTCTTTCTAATAAACACAGTTAATAGTATCTAATCAATCTGATTCCTACCTTCAGGCCTCTTTGCCTGAAGGTAGTCCTTGACTTACAACAGTTTGTTTAGTGACCTTTCAAAGTTCCATCGGCACTGAAAAAGTGACATGATCATTTTTCACACTTTCGGCCGTTGCAGCCTCCCCACGGTCACGTGATCAAAATCCAGGCACTTGGCAACTGACTCATATTGATGACAATTGCAGTGTTCCAGGGCCATGCGATCCTTTTTGTGACCTGCCAAGCAAAGACAATGGGGAAACCAGATTCACTTAACAACTGTGTTACTAACTTAACAGCTGCAGTTTTTCACTAAACAACTATGGCAAGAAATGTCATAAAATAGGGCAAAACTCTCTTAACAACTGTCTCACCTAGCAACAGAAATTTGAGGCTCAGTTGTGGTTGTAAGTCAATGACTACCTCTATTTGTGTAATGATAGCTACATTCCAGCTACAGAAAAATGTATTAAAAGTTGATTATAGACATTTTTATTGTTGTTGCTTGCACTAATGATTGGGGAGCTATTCTTGTATGGCTGAGGAATCTGATGTGACAGCAACAAGGTATCTGGCAAAGCCCTAGAGTCTTACATGTTTAATGACTGTCTTCTCTGTGGTGGAGAGAAAAAAATTAAACACTTTTGGTCCTGCAGCATGAGGTTCATCAGATCTGATTGATTCTTACACTGGTCATAATCAGAAGCAGCCAGTGACTACATGCTTGTCTTGCTCCAGTCCAGGGGTGTCAAACTGCTGGCTTGTGGGCCGGTTGTATCACATGGAGGCCACGCCCACCCCAGCTCTGGCAATGCGAAAAAAGTCACGATACGTCGCAACACGTCACACGACGTGGCGAGTTTGATACTCGTGCTCTAGTCTATTCCATTTAGAATAACATAGGTTATATGTTAGCTTTCAATGTGTGTGTTGGGCTGACAGAGATTTGGGGCATCAAATTGCCCCAAAGGTGAGGATCTTGCCCAACTAGCTGATTACCTACCTTTTGGTTAATTTTTCTAGTCGTACTTGTGCCTGTCAAGGTCTCGATCCAGAGACATGTGGAGCATCCTTTTCATTTGGCTGTTCTTGGAGCATGTATTACAATGGCTGTAAGTTTGCCAGAAGCAAAATCCCCAGAAAATTTAGACTTCTCACAGATGATCACACCCAAGTAAGTATTCTCCTTTTCTTCTTCCATAATACAATTTTTAATGCTACGGTTTAAGTGCACAGGTATCATAAATGTTTAAAGCTGTTCAGAATTAGTGGAATCACATTAGATTGCATCCTTTCTATGTGGCTTAGATGTGCAAGCTAAGCGTTACTATGAGCAAATTGTGTTCATACACAGTAAATCACTTCTACTGACTTGTCTTATAGCACATAAAATCTCACTTCCTGTTGCCTCCAAAATGCTATGCTTTCATGCCTCTGATAACTCATAGCCATCCACCATAATTTACCAATTTGCATGCATTGAATAGAATATTTTATTTCGGCCAAGTGTGATTAGACACAAAAGGAATTTGTCTCCAGTGCAGAAGCTCTCAGTGTACACGCAAAGCAACAGAATAATGATAATCATAATAAAAATACCAGTAAGAATATCAGTAAGGGGGAGTACAAAGGATAAAAAGTCTAAATAATAATGTTACAGCCATACTACTTGGGTAAATACATACTGACATTAGACAGCAATGTGAGAATTAGTTGTTCAGGAGTGTTCTATCCCAGCCTATGTGAGTCCTTGTTAAGCTCAAGGAGAAACCCCTCTTCCAACAAGCAGGCTGGAACTGCAGGAAAAAAACCAATCCCCTTTTATTATTTACAGACCTGAGTAAATGTCCAAAAGCAAACAAAACACAGTTCACTGAAACTTGATTCCTTAACACAAACAGTTTACCTTCAGCAACTAGCACCTCTCACACCTTCCCTTTTATTATGCAGCCAAGGTGTGGCTTCCTAATGCCTTCTCCTTTGCCTTTGGAGCCGCCCCATTGCATTCCTCTGTCCTACTCTCTTTGCCTGCCGGCATCCTGGATATCTTCCAGCTGTGAGTCATCACTGTCCAACTCATCCTCCCAGCACAGCTGTGTCTCAGCCTGAGCACGAGTAGAGGGGCCAGGCTCCTAGTCAGACTGTAAATCTTGGAGCTCATCAGAGCCTTCCTCTGACTCTCTGATGTCACTCCAGGCCCCTCCTCCTCCTCCTCTGATTCCCCAGACTCAGCTGCCAGGTCCACTGGCTGACGAGGAATCACAACAAGGAGAGTGATGGGCCGAGGGAAAAAAAACTGTCCCTGTTTCTAGTTGTTTTGCCCTGCAATGCCCAAGGAAAGAAGTTGAAACAGTTTATGTTCAGGATGTGAAGAGTCTGCAGATATTTTCTCAGCCCTCCTTCTGACCTGCACAATATAAAGGTCTTTTATGGAAAGCAGGCTGGTTGCAATTGTTCTTTCTGCAATCTTAACTATCCGTTGGAGTCTGTACCTGTCTGTTTGGTTGCTGTACCAAACCTGATAGTTATAGAAGTACATATGATAGACCAGTGGTGGCGCACGGGTGCCAGAGGCGGCATTCAGAGCCCTCTCTGTGGGCACGCGCACTGTCGCCCCAGTCCTAGGCCTTCAGCTGGGTTTTATAAAACCTTTTTGCTTTAGGCCTTTGCCGCTGTTTGCAAAAAAAAAAAGATTCAATCAGTCAATTTCAACTTCTCGCCGAAAAAAAAAGATCTTGCAAAGTTGGAATTGATTGATTGAACTTTTTAGTCCCACCCAGTCTGCCGTTACCACCGTAGCCACACCCACCCAATTGGCCATGCCCACCCAATTGGCCACACCCACCTGGCATTCGACGATGCATAAGTGGGTTTTGGATAGCAGTTTGGGCACTCAGTCTCTAAAAGGTTTGCCATCATTGTGATAGACTCAATAATTTCTCTGTAAAACTGCTCATGTAATTTCCCCTAACCTCACCTGTTGCTTATCTGTCAAAAAAACGGACACGTCTGAGCAGGTACAGTAAGCTGAATCAATTTAGAGTATGTTTTTATTTTCCTATTAAGACTAAATGCACATGTTCACAGTGACTAACGCATACATGCAATCCATTTTATAAAAGGTTCCCTTATTTTAAAAATAGGAAATATTTCACAAGTGTGCATGTACACAGGTTTGCTGACCTCTAGCATAGTACCTACTCCTGAAGCAGGCACTCGGTTGTACAATTATTTGGGGTGGCCGAAAAGTTCATAGAACAAACAAATGAAAGTGCTTTTTGTCATTGTTTTTATGAGAACCTTCTACTTTAGCTAAATATTAAATATTGATCATTTTGCAGATGACATAAAGCTAGGAGGTATAGCAATGCAAATGCAGAAGAAGATAGATTGAAAGTAAAGACAGATATGGATCATTTGAACCACTGGACGGAGTGAGATGAGGTTAAATGTAAAGAAGTATAAAATTATGCTCTTTAGGTAAGAATAGCTTGTAGTATAGTGATAAAACTAGAAAACATCTGTTGTCTAGAAAGTAGTCCAGAAGAATTTTTGGACAGGTAACAAACTTATATGGGTTTGTGCTATTGTGATTTACTTATTCTGCTCAATAGTGTTCAACAATCTTCTATATATAAATAAAAATGTAAATGTTCATTTGTTCAAAATCTTAAATCTCCGAAAGTTCTTCACCGATTGCTTTGAAATTTTGACACAACGTTGCATTCGAATACGTGCGTGTTTTTATATACCTACTATTATATACAGTAGATGTCACACCTGTGACATCTTTTCCATTTAACCAGACTGAGCCATAGCAACGCGTGGCCGGGTACAGCTAGTGAGATATAAGAAGCAGTTGCTTTGCCCTCTTCCTGGTGCACAAAGAAGAATTTAAAGCTACCCTTTCATTTCTGTTCTGGTTAATTATGACTTGTTCTGCTTTTCTAGCACAAGAAGTGAGTTAGCTTTGACCGTGACTTGCTTATAGCATGCCAGGTTCAGAGCATCTTATAGGATTGTGGTGAGATATTTTATAGAATGAATGAAACAAATCATTCTATAAACTGCAGATTATGGGTGATATGATTCAACGACCCATATTTATTCACAGCACAGGATGTGGATGAGAGACCCTAAGCCAGGCATGTCAAACTCGTGACGTCACATGATGTCGTGCGACGTATGCAACTTTTTCCCCATTGCCGGCAATGGGGTGGGCGCCGTTTCGGCGTGATGCATCCGGCCCGCAGACCGGCAGTTTGACATGCCTGCCCTAAGCTGTCAGGTATTTTGTTCATTTGGTTTTTATAGTAAAAGCGTAACCATCTAATGCAGTGTTTCTCAACCTTGACAATTTTAAGGCATGTGGACTTCAATTCCCAGAATTCCACAGCCAGCATTGCTGGCTGTGGAATTCTGGGAGTTGAAGTCCACATGCCTTAAAATTGTCAAGGTTGAGAAACACTGATCTAATGAAACATATGTATGGGTGAGTTGTTCAAGGGTTATAGCCAAAACTTATAGTAAGTTATATCAGCTTGGGAAATAGGACTACTTTGAGCACTCTGCATAAGTTAAGGAGAAAATCCACCTGTGATTTTTTTTTCTGTCATTTTTTATTGCCTCATGATTATTTTTTTTATATGGTAGCTGCTTGGTGTCTGAATGGGTTTTAGAGGAACATTATTTATTATAGTATTAATGGATATACTCTGTTTTTAAATAATGGATTGTTTTCCAAACCTAAATATTTATAATGTAAAAGTCTTGTTGAGTCATTCACTTCTGCGGTTGACTTTATGGATGTATTTCTAGAGTTCTCTTGGTAATAGTAGAGGAACAGTTTGTCCTTCTTTTAATATGTGTTTTTAATTTCCCAATCAATTTTACAGCTCAGGGACTTCCTGATATTCTCCCATCCAAATACTAGCCAGATCCAATTCTACTTAGGCTAGTGAGATTAGCCATGTCAGCTACCCGGGCACCTGTGTGTATTGTCTGAATCTCATACTTTCTAAGGCTACTATATTGGTCTGCTAAACTGATATGTTGGCTTTAACAAGTACAAAATGGGCCACCTTACATGCTGTTCTGTTGTTAAGCAGAACCTTTACATTTAAAGCATTTATTATAGGGGTGTCCAATCTTGGCAACTTTAAGGCTTGTGTATTTCAACTCCCAGAATTTCCTAGCTGGGTATGCTGACTTGAGTAATTCTGGGAGTTGAAGCCCACAAGTCTTAAAGTTGCCATGGTTGGACACTTCTGAATTATTGTTTGTTTTGTGGGGTTTTTTTCTTTTTGCCTTTCTTGAAAGAGCTTGATCTTTGATCTACTGAGTCCACATTTTTTAGACTATCTTTGAAGAAACTGTTGCTTATCTTCAAATCTTATGTCTTTTCTCCTCTGAGAATAATAAAGCAATCTTTTTAAGACAGAGTAGTTATAGTTATTTTTTAACACAATATGAAAATGAACAAAAGAATGTAAGTTTAATGGCTGTATTGTCAAGTTATGTAGTACATTTTTTTAAATTTGATACAGGTAGTCCTTCACCTGTGTCCATTCAGTGACCATTCAAACTTATGATGGTGCTGAACGAGTGATGGTTATGACTGATCCTCAGAGTATTTCTGACCTGCTGCAGGACCCCATGATCACACACTCATCGCTGAGGCAAACCTCCCTCACCTGCACATCCTCCTGCAGCCTTTCTGCACTGCCACTCACATATCCTGCCTGACCTTTAACCCTTGTGCACCCTATCCAAGCCTCACAGCCACCCTTGACTTGCACCACAAACCTGAACAGCTGCTCTGACCCATGCTACACTCCCATGCACCCTCCCTCACCTGTTCCTCTCACACAACACTCAAGCTATCACACACTCATCTTAACCTTCACCACGCATCATACCCGCATGCACTGGCCCCACGTATGCTCTCCCCTGCCCATACACACAATTCACACTGTGCCTACACACACTTCCTAAGCCATACTGTGCCTCTCACGCACACCCTCACATCCTCCATGGACTGCATCACGCCCCTGCATACTCTCCCAAACACATGCCTCACCCTTGTGCACCATCCCTGACCTTCATGTACTTTTCCTGAGCCACACTGTGGCGCTCGGGTACCCCCTTGCTTTTCCTCCCCACCTGTCCTTCACACTTGCACTCTCTCCAAGCCACACCTGCGCCTCTAGCACACACCCCTCGCAACCTCATACATTCTCCCCAACCCATGCTGCACCTTCCCCCACCACACGTCACACACGTACCCTCGCACCCTTACGCATTCTCCTGGTCCATGCCACAGTCTCAAGCGCATTCCCAGATCCAAGCTATACCTCCACGCACCCTCTCTGATCTGCATGCCTTTCACGGATCCTCTCGTATGTGGCCCCCTCTCCCCAAACCTCACCATGGCTGCCCCCCCCTCCCCGGGACTCTCTTTCCCACCCAGCAGAAGTCACTCAACTGCCTGCTGGTGCTAGACTTGCAACTTCCTGCCATTTTCTTCACTGACTGTGGTTGTGGGATCCCAGCAGGAAGGTGTTTCATCAAACAACCATGGGATTTAGTTAACAATGGTAATTAGGACTTCAGGGATGGTTGTTGCTAAGCGATGTGGTCACACTTTATGACCCCATCCCTGAGCAATGGAAAACCCAGTCCCAACTGTTGTCATAAGTGAAGGATTACCTGTATTCAGTATATTGAAGGAACAAAAGTCTCTCTTTCATTGCCACCATCCTGACAGGCTTTCTAACATTGTTAATAGCTGTTGGGCTAAGTAATGGCTTCCTTGCAAAGGAGAAAAGAAATAGTTTCCCCTGTGTCTGGCCAACTTGTAAATATTTTGATAGTTTTTACTATTACAGTAGGAAACTTAGGTCTCAAATATAAGCTGCAGTCAATGTTGCTTTCGCTAATTGCTTTGTTTGTAAACAGTGCAATTATGGCGTAATTGCTTTCTCTGTTTCCAGGAAGAAAATCTGGAAAACAATTTGCAGACTTTAGCTACTGATGTGGCTCCATTATATCAGAAACTTGCCCCCGATGCTTTCCAGAACCAGGTAGGTGGATGAATATTTCATGATGCCTCATCACATCCTTTTAATGCAGACATGTCAAACACAAGGCCCGGGGGCTAGATGCGGCCCACGAAGGGGTTTCATGTGGCCTGCGAAGCCATCCTGGAAACAGTGAGGGAACGGCCCCCGCTGCCTTGGCCCTGGCCCAGGCCAGCTGGGAGCCAATGTACAATTTTGTGGTGGCCATCTTGGCACTTACCCCGGTCCCACCCTGTTCTGCCAGAGACCCTCAGATCTGTCCCTCTCCTGCCCAGGCCCCCTTAGGCCCCCTTGATGCGAATGATGTGGAACTGGCCACGCCCACCCAGTAGGCCACACCCACTCCATCCACGCCTACCCAGTAGGCTGCACCCACTCTGGCCACACCAACCCGGCCCCCCCCCAGGGCAACCGCAATGCTGATGCGGCCCTCAGTGAAATTGAGTTTGACACCCCTGTTTTAATGTGATAGGATCAGTGACATTTCCCCGAGAGACATTCACTTACTAGCTGAGTCCACAGATTGAGCTAAGCCCCAGCATCGTTTCTTGGATTTTAAGCTAGTATACAATGTGTGGATTCTTCTCTTATGGTTTATAAACAATGATTTATGGCTTTGTGCAGGAATGGACAACGTATGGCCCCACATCTTTGTTCCTTTTTGCTGCTCTTATAAACCCTATCATATTTCTCTCTTTCCATGTTTGTGGAAAACCAGCAGCACCTATTGAGGTGGAAAACAGATCATCCCAAAATGAAATATCTGAAAGTAATCATGGTTAAAGCACAAAAAGCAACCCCCAAACCTCCCTTGCCCACATGCCTGTAATGCCCCTCCCTTTGTGACCCTTTTCAAATGTTGTATCTCACCTCCACCTTCAGGCTTAGGGTAGTATTATGTGTAAGTCCATTGGTTTGGGTATATGCAATGTCATAGTGAAACTGAATTACAATTAGTCCTCACTTACCAACCATTTGTTCATAATGGTGTTACAAAAGATGACCTGTCTTTGAAGCTTCAGCCATTCCAGCACCTTGCGGTCATGTGATCACGATCTGGCCACTTCACAACCAGCTCATGCTTAACAGTGGTTGCAACATCCTGCAGTTATGTGATCGTCCTTTGCAGCCTTCACTGTTGGCTTCCCACAAGCAAAGTCAATGGGGAAGCCAACAGGAAAATCACTCACACCAGCCCCAGCTTGGCAGCAGTCACCTAGTCACACCATCCATGTACCGTCCCTTACCTGTCTGCTGGCCTGTTTGCAAGCCACCTGAGACTCGCTTAAGGACCCAGCAATGGGGAGCACCACGATTCTGGTCCTAATTACATCATTAAGCAAGGATTACCTCCATGGCTTAGTGCAGGGGGTCTTCAAACCTGGCCCTTTTATGACTTGTGGACTTCAACTCCCAGAATTCCTCAGCCAGCGTGCCTGGCTGAGGAATTCTGGGAGTTGAAGTCCACAAGTCATAAAAGGGCCAAGTTTGAAGACCCCTGGCTTAGTGTATGTGAACCCATTTGCTTCCTGGTGAAAGCAAATATTAGATATGAGAAAGCAAACTGCTTTGAGAATCCTTTCTGTTTTTTTAAAAAAAATATAATAAATCTGATCGTGATCACATTTCACACTCTTCAAGCTGGAGGGCAGCAAATGCTCCCTGGATTTGGCTATTGCACCGTCCCTGCTGTATGTAGCAATTAAAATGCATAAATAAAATAACAATCAGCACAAAAGCCATATGTTTTGTAAGCAACAATACACAGGTCAAGGGTAAGACTGCGTTTCCTCCCATTTTTGATTGTAAATGAAATGTTGCCCTGAAGCTGGCAACACGCTTCACTGTGTTCCTGAAATAAGAGCCCATTGCCTTGTTTTTCTAAGGTGGAGAATGAGCATCTTGGTCCTGACTGTCGTCTTGGGATCAAAAAAGGCCGGCCTTTCTCTGGTGTGACCGCTTGCATTGATTTCTGTGCCCATGCACACAAGGATACTCACAACATGCACAATGGAAGCACTGTGGTAAGTAAAATTTGGAATGCTGTTTCCTCTTTGTCATGTAGCTGTGTCGTGGTTGCATGCTGTCTTTTTACCTCATTTCCTTTATTATTATTTTTTTTCAGTTTGGGTCTCCAAACGTGGCAATTTTAAGACTTGTGGAATTCCTCAGCCAACATGGTTTGGTGACCCCTGCCATAAATGACACAAAATGCAACGAATGTATAATAAATTATAATGTTCTTGGTTACTGAGGTTAAATACTGCTTCAGCATTAATGTCTGCAGCCTCGTACAAAATTCACTTTTAAATCTTTAGTTTACAATGCCGTAAGTCAGTAGTGGCGAACCTATGGCACGGGTGCCAGAGGCGGCACTCAGAGTCCTCTCTCTGGGCACGGATGCCCTCGCCCCAGTCCTAGGTCTTCGGCTGGATTTTATAAAACCTTTTGCTTTAGGCCTCCGCCGCCGTGTGCAAAAAAAAAAAAAAAGGTTCAATCAGTCAATTTCAACTTCTCGCGGGAAAAAAAAAAGATTTTGCAAAGTTGGAATTGATTGATTGAACTTTTTAGTCCCACCAGTCTGCCGTTACCGCTGCAGCCATGCCGAGCCAATGGGCCACGCCCAGCCAATGGGCCACACCTACCCGGCACTCGATGATGCATAAGTGGGTTTTGGGTTGCAGTTTGGGCACTCAGTCTCTAAAAGATTCGCCATCACTGCCATAAGTTGTAAGAAATAATTTCCCAGGGTAGAGATGTCAGTCCCCTGAGCTTCAAGGCCAGAAAGTGCAGGGCAAAAAGACCATGTAAACAAGGGGAAATGGATGGGTGGGGGAAAGAAGCAGCCCCTGGATCGGAATGCAGTGGGAATAAAAAAGGAATTGCACTTTCATGTTGACAAAGGGAATCGGTTATTTTGCGGCTTCTTCCTAACAAGCAATAAGCCTTCTTACATAACTTATGGTATGAGTTCTGAGGTCCTTAGGTTGGATACAGCTTAGATCAGTGTTTCTCAACCTTGACAACTTTAAGATGTGAGGACTTCAACTCCCAGAATTCCCCAGCCAGCTATGCTGGCTGGGGAATTCTGAGAGTTGAAGTCCTCACATCTTAAAGTTGTCAAGGTTGAGAAACACTGGCTTAGAGCTTAGTCAAGCTGTGCCAAGTCAAGTATCCAGGAAATTCCTCAAGGTCTTAGCAGTGAGCCTTGACATTCAGTTCCCAGCCCAGAGCTGCAGGAATGTTGCCCACCTTATTTGACTGGATGGTTAGCATTTGCCGATCAATCTTATTTCTTAGGGGTCTTTCCTGTCATGATCAAGACCTGAAATGCAGGCCACAGTCATGGAAGCGAGAGTCAAACAGCCTTCAGCCTTCAATGAAGAATTTAAATGCGAGAATTAGGGGCAAAACACAGAGTCTTGAGGACTGTGGTAGGAACCTCCAGCCCTCTTTTATAAATGAGTGCATTTAAAAAAAAGAAAAAACCTCTTTGAATGTTTGAATCTCCTGTCCTTCCCTGAGCTTTTGTGCAGCCTGGACTGAGCTGCTCTTCGTGAGATAAGCTACTTAGCAGTGCTGATCCGGTTGTCCTTGCAGGCTTGTCATCTGAAGAATGGAGGAATGTTGGGGAGGAAGAAATGACACATTCAGCCTTTGGTCTACTATTATAATAAATAACAGATTTGGCCTAGGACAGTGATGGCGAACCTTTTAGAGACCGAGTGCCCAAACTGCAAGCCCAAACCCACTTATTTATCACCGGGTGCCAGGTGGATGTGGCCCTCTGGGTGGGTGTGGCTGTGGTGGTCATGGCAGGGTGGGTGTGGCCAAGGTGGGCATGGTCACCTCGATGTTGCTCATGGGGAGGGGCGCCTGTGGGAGCCAGGCAGGGTTGGGGGAGATCCAGGGGGTCTCTGGCAGGTGGGGTGGTGGGCAGGAGGCTCGTCCTGCAGGGTGAGGCGAGGCAAGGTGAGGCAGGGCAGGGGTGCCATTGCCGCGGGGCCGGGGCAGCTGCTGCCTGACACCATCGGCCCCCGCACACAGAGGCCAGCGAGCGCATGGGGGCCGACAGTGTCCGTCAGCAACCACAGCCTGCCGGCCTCTCGATCAGCGCACTCTAGGGCTCTGTAGCCCGCCGCCAGCAGTTCAGAGAAGCTGCCTCTGAGCTGGACGGCCGGTCGACCGACAGCTGAGGAGGCGATGCAGTGTGTCGTGCCCAGGAAAAGGAGAGCATGCGAGGCCAGAAGGGATGGGACGGGGGGGGGGAGAACCAGCCGTGCTGGGATGAATCCGGCCACATAGGATCTTGGCGAATTAGTGAGCGACTGGTTGAAGAGGGACAGTTGCCATCTCCGAGGCAGGGCGCGCGTGCCCACAGAGAGGGCTCTGAGTGCCGCCTCTGGCACGCGTGCCATAGGTTCGCCACCACTGGCTTAGGATCAAGTCCCAGATGTCTTGCCTACTTCTCCACCCCTCCCCTCAGTCCCCTTTGCATTTTCCCCTTAGCATGCCATCACTTCCTCTTTAAGGTTTGTGCTACTCCAGGCAGCACCAATGCCTTCTTAATTGCCATTCATGGCACAGAATTCAGAACTTGTCAGCCCAAGAGGAGCTTGGAATGCACCAAATTCTGGCATGTATATTCCATACAGGGACTCCAGGTTTGGTCAGTTAGGTTTCCATTGGGCCACCAAACCAACTTGAAGCATTATTCGTTAGTTTTAAGAAGGGGGACTCTAATCCTTTGCCTTTTCAGAATTGCCATCACAATTATTTGCTTTTGAGCCAAGAGTTCGGTGGCATAAGGGAGCCCAGTCAAGACAAGGCATGTTGGACAAGTTAGCTCTCACCGTTTTTCTCACAAATGTGTGTTTTTAGTTACCATTCAGCAGGAAATCTTACATTAAATGGCCTTCGTCAGTGGTCTTCAAACGTGACCCTTTTATGACTTGTGGACTTCAACTCCCAGAATTCCTCAGCCAGACACGCTGGCTGAGGAATTCTGGGAGCTGAAGTCCACAAGTCATAAAAGGGTCAAGTTTGAAGACCACTGGCTTTCGTTATCTGAGCTTCTGTAGATGAGGAACTTCTCTTTTATAGTATAGGCGGGTTCAAGACAATACAATATCTTCCTCAGCTCTTCAAACGTGTTAGACAGTGTTCCAGAACTGTCACCCAGCACAGGATTTGGGGAATTGTAGTCCAATATTTGAAGAGTGCCAGGTAAAGGATAATCCAGTTGAGGCATATTCCTTCTTTATGATCAAACCAATCCCCCTTTATATTGTTTCCTAAAAAACCAGAAGTCTGTTTCTCATTTCTTCAATTTAGGTTGAAGAGTTGTTCTGCTGAAGTTAGCAAATATATCTTTCATGAGATCTATATTGGAGTGTACTCTTAATGTCATGCTACATAAATTATAACCTATTGTTCATGTATAAGAAACAAACTATATGTAAGTAGTCCTCAACTTACAACCACAATTGAGCCCCAAATTTCTGTTGCTAAGCAAGGCAGTTATTGTTTCGCCCCAATTTACGACTTTTCTTGCCACGCTTGTTAAGTGAATCATTGAAATTGTTAAGTTGATAACATGGTTGCTAAATAAATCTGGCTTCATTGACTAGGCTTCTTAGAAGATCGCAGAAGGTGATTATATGACCCTAGGAGACTGCAATCATCAGTTGCCAGGCATCCAAATTTTGATCACTCGACCAGTGGGATGCTGCAACAGTCGTAGGTTTGAACAATGGTCACAAGTCACTTTTTTCAGTGCTGTTGTAACTTTGGTCACTAAAGAAATGACTGTAAATTGAGGACTATCTCTGTGTTAGTTTACTCGTGTTTTATCTGTGACATATATAAAACCATGATAAGAAGGGTGAAACAGATTGTCTTTCAGGTTAAAGTACATTCACATAATATACTTTTCACTAAAGTTGATTAAGTGTGCTTGTGTATTTCTATGTAAACTGTAATTATAATTTTTCCCCTTTCTGGCTAGGTTTGTACTTTAACAAAAGAAGACAACCGTACAGTAGGTGTGATACCAAATGACGAGCAGCTTCATGTGTTGCCTCTTTACAAAATATCACAAACAGATGAATTTGGCACGGAAGAGGGGCTGGAAGCCAAGATTAAAACTGGGGCAATCCAAGTGCTAACGGCGTTCCCCCGAGAAGTGAGGATGTTAGCCGAGCCACGTAGAGCCACCAAGAAAAAGCCAGACGCAAAAAAGCAAAGTATAGCTGGAAAAAAGCATTCTGCGCCTGTCAGGGGGAAAAACGGACTGCCAGAAAACACCAAGAGAGCATCACAGAGTTCGGGTAGGCACAACAGAGCTTCAAATAATAGCTGATAGTGATAGATATGGGCACGCTATAGAAGTTTGCATTTGTGTGTCTAAAATGCGAAGTATGAAGATGGAACAAAATAAAATATTGTGAGCAAAAGCATTTCAGTACTGTATATACAGGTAGTCCTCAACGTACGACCACAATTGGCCCCCAATTTTCTATTGCTTCACAAGGCAGTTGTTAAGTCAGTTTTGCCCCATTTTATGATCTTTTTTGCCACAGTTGTGAAGCAAATCACCACAGTTGTTAAGTGAATCGTGTCATTACAGAGTGTAAGAGTGCCGTTATAACTTTGAACAGGCACTGTTATAAGTCGACTACCTGTACCTAGTTGAAGACTATCTGTATTGTACCTAGTATAAAAGTACATTTGGTTTAAATATGTGGTGGCAAAGCCCTACAGCTGATACCTCTGTATAATGTGCAAGATGTTGTTCCTGAAGTTTTGAGCATCTTCATTTTCATGAAAAGAATTTGTAACTTGGATAAAAATATACTTGGAAAATGTGATGGCAAAGGTGTTGCCAAACTGCAACATGTCTGCATTGGGGAGGAATTGGAATGGATGAAACGTGTATGTATTTATCAAACATCTGTAGGGGGTGAAAACAGAACTTTATATTTGAAACCAGCTTTTTCTTTTTCTTTTTTCTCCTTAGGGAGCAAACTAACTATAGTACAACCTGAGAGAAAAATGGAGACAGCCGAATACTTTTCTACCATGAAACCTAATTTAGGCATTACTACCGATTGCTCTCCGTTGAAGCAACGTGCTCCATCCTCTCCTTTAAAACTGGATAGTTTATCTTCTTGCTCTCCATTGAGTGGTGGTCTAATGCCAGTAACAAATAGCCAAGAAGATGTTTCTACTCCCTACGGGTATTTACAATGCAGTAGTAATAAACCTCACGTGAAATCCAAAGGTAATAATAATGTTGACATGTCCCCTCGTGATTATACTGGAATTGTGATGGATGAGAAGAGAAACTGTGTGCCTCTGCTTCTTCAAGACCTGACTATGTCGAGGTCGGCAGTCAACAGAGAGAATCTGCCCCTGACCGCTGAACACGAACTAGTTAACAAGCAAAATTGTGAAGTTAACTTAAAGTCCTCTTCTGCCTCCCAAGTAGCTAGCTCTTGTGAGTCAATGTTGCAACTGGACGCCCCAGAAGATGTCTCTAGCAACGGTTCTTCCCAAGAGCACCCAGTGCAAAAGAGTGGATTACGGCAGAGCCTAAGTTGTGATTCTACCACTGTGGAGAACAGGTCCGGCGGCCAGCTCTTAAAACACGCCGGTTCTGAAGAAAAAGCAGAAGAAATGTGGTCCGACAGCGAGCATAACTTTTTGGATAATGACATTGGGGGGGTAGCTGTAGCGCCATCCCATGGTTCCATCTTAATTGAATGTGCCCGGCGCGAGCTGCACGCCACCACGCCTCTTAAAAAGCCCAACAGGAATCATCCCACGCGGATCTCTTTAGTCTTTTACCAACACAAAAACTTAAATGAGCCAAAACATGGGATAGCCCTGTGGGAGGCCAAAATGGCAGAGAGAGCAAAAGAGAAAGAAGCTGAAAAATCAGGAACCGAAACCACTGGTCTGCCGGCCACTGACAAGAATGCAAATCAGACCAATGCAACCCAAGAGATTTTCTACAAAGAAAGTGAATTCAACCAAATTCCATCTCGCAGAGCATTAACCGTAACTCATGATAATATTCTAACAGTGTCTACTTACGCCCTCACACGAGTTGCAGGGCCCTACAACCATTGGGCATAAGCTCTTATAGCAATGACACAACTTTTGCTTGGAGCAGTGTTACAATCCTAAAGGTGCTGTTAAAGAACAAAGTCTCATATGGTTTACTCTTTGTTCATCTCAACCATTTTGAAGGCTGAGGTAAAAATTATTTTGTTTTTAAACTGTGACTTTATATATTTTAACATCTGGTGATTCTCAAGTGTGTGTGTGTATATATGTGCATGTGTATTCACATGCATGCACTCGCGCACACACATATTTTAAGAAAAATTGGCTAGATTATTAACTGATTGAATTACTTGGTTTATTTACCTTTTTGGAATTTATACTTTGGTGCTTTGAATTGTCTGTTTATTATAAATGGGCTTTTCATAAAGATTTTAACTGATTTCAACTTTTATTATGTAAAATCAAGTTAAACAGTATTAGGTATACACAGCTCTTGGTGCTTAATCACATTGAACAGTTAAAAATAAGCTGATTTTATTTCTTCATGGTGCCATTGCTCTTACAGCTTCCAATCACTTGCTGTGGATCCTAGCTTAAGGAGAAAGAACCAATGATGATTTATTTGTATATAGATTTTTCTCATGTATGTATAGTTTGTGTGTGCATGTGTGTATGATCCACATGCAAACAAATATCACGTAATGGTTGGAGGTTATAAATGTAAATATATATAAATATATATATTTAAAAGCACTTTCTATTTTTAAAGTTAACTTGAAATAGTATAAGGATCACATCTGTCTAAGGTTTGCGCATTCTCTACCAAGGAATTTATTTTTTCTTACTATATAAAGTTCCATATTGCTACACCAATTCATAGATATTGAAAATACTTGGGTTTTAGATTCTTCCCTTCTCTTTTTTTCCATTGCTTTTTTCTAAATAAAAAAGCTGATAAAGTCCAGAAAATTCATTATTTGCAAATATAAATTAAGTCGTTTATCTATACTTGTATTTCTAGGGTCTTTTTTAAAAAAGAGTTTATAATTTGAGCAATAAGGGCAAATGTTATCTCATAGGGGGCATTCTAAGTTTTATGGGACAATACAATCAGGCATCATCCAGGGTGTAGTTCCATACATCTTGAAGTCACCCTGTTAGGAAAGAAGTTTTCTAGGGCCTCAATGTGTAAATTGCAATACCTTGTTATCATGTTGGATTTTAAGAGATCTGCCCTATCAGTAGTGTAAGAATACATCTACCGTAAATTTATTATGCATTCAAAATGTTCTTCATGGTGAGTTGCCCATCAGCCTGATCTAGACAGGTTTACTTGAAGCTCAATCCCATTGTGTTCAGTGGGCTTTCTGCCAGGTAAGTGAACATCTGATTATTATATGTAGTTTTCTCCTCTCTTTCACCTCCGAATAAGACACACCGATATTCCTAAGTGATTAATTCCACAAAACATGCATAGTTCCACATCCCACTTGGTATCTCCAGTCAGGAAATAAAGTCTGTGATGGGCATTGGTCTGTGTTGGAGACCCATCCAGAGTACAATGGCTGACTTCTTGGTTGCAAAATTACTATGTAACATGCCATTTCTTCTTTGTATCATACCCTTTTCTGAATGGTAACCCATGCAGCATTACAGGCTCAAAAGAGTTTGAAAATGTTTTCCAACCTGGGAACACTGTTCAGTGTTTCAGCATGCACTTCATGTGCCAGTTGAACTACTAAGTGCAATGGCTGGATTGATCAACCCAAGTTTTTGTTTCAGTCAAGAACCAGGAAAGGCAACTGCCAAGATATCGATATAGTCAGTCTAAATGGGGATTTGCTGAAGAGATTGAGTTGTGCAAGGTAGAGTTCCATTTTGTAGACAGAACTTAACTAGATTGAAGTTCCCAGCTCAAAACTAGCGGCAGAATGATGTCTTCCAGCAGACTTAAAAGTTGCCAACTAGCTTAACAGATATCACAAAGGCTCTTATGTGGATTACCCATGCCCGGGTTTTCCCAACATCTTGCTACCGCTTCTCGTTTCTTAGCACCTGTTATTTGGAGTGGCCACATCCTTTGTTTAACAGGAACAGCATTAAATGATCAAATACTCACAGAGCTTTAATATTAAATAGTGAAAATCTCAAATGTGATATGACATCTGTGTGATCAACACTGCTTTTGTCAGTTCTGTTGCGAAGCTCAGGACTCCGGGCAGCTAGAATCAAGAGAATTTGGTATATTTGGAATGAAGAAAAGGGAAGAAGAAATTAAGTAACAAGATCATATTTTTAGACAAGTGGATGCCAGGGATTTTTATCAGTCTTAAAATTATTTCCATGCCATGGTCTAAATTATATAATATTATTGAAGCTAAATCGGTGAGTTTAACCAGTCCCAATTTGATAGGGCTGTGTGTATGGGGGAACCAGACCTTGAGTCCAAATAATAAATTAATTAAATCACCTAGCATCCATTTGTCCTAATGACAACATCTTAATTTTAAACATTACAGGACTATGTCAGGCTTTTCTTTTTTGTATGGTGTAGTTATTTGAATTAGCCAATTGTTATCATATTATGAGCCTTTGTGAGTAAACGCACCCTGTAGTTTATATACAAGAATGAAGCTATTTACTAATAATCCAATTTAATCAGGGCAGTCATGAGATTAACTTTTGATTTTACATCTCTCCCTCTCCTTTTCCCCCTCCGTGATGTACATAAGTGCCACCAGAATAACCAGAAATAAAATATTTGTGATAACATACCTGATAATATCTTGCAGTGGTGCTATAACAAGTAAATGTCTAGATCTGCTTTTTTTTTTAAACAAAATCTAGACATGGTGCTTTTATTATTAAATGTCTACTCTTGTGTATTTAATCTGAAACGGTAATTAAAAAAAAGTTGATACATATAGCTTGTCCCAGCCTTCTCCAAAGTATTCGCTGACTATTGGAATGGAAGTAAAAAAACACATTAAAGGCAGTAGGTTGGGGAAAACTGGCTAACTCTTTGTCACCTATGATTCTGAAGTTCAGAAAGTGGAATTTATCTCCGTTACTCACATAGCCCAGTTGTGTAATATTAGACATTCACACTGGTGTAAGACTTCAAGACCACCATCTTCCCCAGCACACCCATGCTGGACCTTCTCCACTTCCTCCATCCAAATGGGCAATTACCCATATTTTTATCTAGCAGTACAAATACATTTTTAGGTAAAGTGAAGATTAAAACAGCATGTTTGACTGCTGCTTGATGTCTGTCCCTTCCCCGTCTCTGATTTAATAGGTGATTGATGCCATTATTGGTGATGCTGATCATGTTAAATGATATGTACGTATATCGGGCAAGACTGGTGCTAGATATCTTTATGTTTGCCCATTGCATTTCCACTTTTGACAGCTGAATACACACAGACATAGACAAATTTCAGCTTGCCGATACTGTAGATATTAGAGAAATTTTCCTAAATTACTGAATATTAAGATTTAGAGATGTTTTGCTAAAATCAGGAGTGAGCAATCCAGCAAATTTCACTGATTTTGGTGAAGGCTGAGAAAGCTCAAACTGTTGTGATCTATAATTTTACAAAGAGGTACCCTCCGAATACCATAGAACATGGCTTTCAAACTTAATTTTGGATCAGATCTTCATACTTCTTAGTCACAATACCATTAGCAATCTTTATGCAACAGCTTATCGAACAATCTGAGTCAGAACATTTTAGAAAAGTATATAAAGAGAAAAACAACCCAATCTTTCTATTTTTAAAACAAACTTTGTAAAGAAAACAACCCATATGCTGCATTTTTCTTAGTTCAAAGATTATGATTAGTTCAAATACAGAATATGTAACAACTGTAAATAATAAAAGTCAATATTATATCATTTTCTACCAGCAGTTTTTCTGCTTCTTGGATATATATATTAATTGGTATGGTAATTTTGTGTGCCTTAGATTTACATTTTAAGAACTGTATATTTTTTGTGAACCTAAAATTTATTAAAACATAATAGCTGTCATTACAATAAGTATGGTGAAATCATCCAGCAACTCATCTGTACAGTTTTTATTTTAATTTAATCATCCTTTCTAGTAATTCTGAGGGGAAAATCCTGGGATAATCCTTCACTGTGCTCAACCCCTCTGTCAGTTATAATTTCTAGTTGTATGCTTTTTAGTTTGCCAATCTCTTTATGTTTATAATAAGTCCAATTGAACATAATGGGTTCATTTCTGAATGAATGTATGCAGGGCGGTATTATTACCACTTGACATTTATGGGGCATACACTACTAATAAATTGTTTAGGATTAAATTTTGATTCCTTTTTCTATAGGTACTACAGCAGAAAATTCAAATTGTGGCAATAGTAGAAAAATAAAGTTGACTCAAACTATGAAGATTGGGCATTTCTAAGTAGAAGATCTCTAATTACTATGCTTGAGTATTTAGTGTTTTCCTCTGTATACCTATAGAAAATGTACTGCTATATTTGCTAGCAGATACTAGCTCTTAAACGACAATGCTCAATAGGAGAACCACATGTCCACCTAAGAGGTAGGCAACCTCGTCTCTTTTATGACTCGTGGACTTCAACTCCCAGAATTCCTGAGCCAGCATAGCTGGCTCAGGAATTCTGGGAGTTGAAGTCCACGAGTCATAAAAGAGACGAGGTTGCCTACCCCAAGGTTTATGATCTATTACATGGAAGTCCATAAAGTGTATTTGCATAGAATGAATTAAAAATGGAAATGTATGATTGTTTTTAACAGCTAGTAAATGTTTCATTAGATACATCAGGTTACCCAAACATTGGAAACATTACTGCTGAAATTAAGAAATATTGTTAAAGTTTTGTCTGGGTTCAGCCATATATTTTAATTATCACAAATTTGTAAAAAAAAAACCACAAAAAAACCACAATACTGCTCACAAAATGATGGCTGCATCTAAAAGGTAATGTTTCTCGTTGTATTATCTCACTTAATTGCTGTTTTACCAGCCAAAATCCATCAAGCATGTATGCAGAGTGAGAATATATACTGTATATACAGTTGTAAGTTATTTATTGTAGCATTTCAAATATTTATCATAGACACTGATGTACTTTGTGAATTAGCTTGTAGCAGTGAAGATTTATGACAGGGGTCTTCAAACTTGGCCCTTTTTATGACTTGTGGACTTCAACTCACAGAATTCCTCAGCCAGGTGGCTGAGGAATTCTGGGAGTTGAAGTCCACAAGTCATAAAAGGGCCAAGTTTGAAGACCCCTAATTTATGATAACTTTACCTACTTTGTAAGAGCAATTCTTTGGGCAGTTGCAAGCAGCAAAACTTTCAGGCCACCTGCAGTAGCTTGAAGACCAGTATGGTCTAAGGTTCAATGTGGCCGTCGAGTTGCCAGAGACCCAGAAAGGAAATCAAATGCATAGTTTTCAAGATTTATTGAAACAAGACTCTATTGACGAAATTGTCTGTAAAGAATACACTTGAAGCATCTAATGATTTTGGTCCTGTGATGAATGCAGGAGAGTTACTTAAAATTTAACAACTACCATTTCAGACATTCAGACCGTGAGCCCTTCAGAATGAGAAATATCAAAGCAGTTAATTGTCAGAACATACTATAACATGTCTTTAAAAATGCTGTATTTAAAAAAAAAGGATTTAAAAAACCCAGGAGTTACAACATCTCTAAAGCAGG